CAGCACTATTTTTTATATGACATTGTGCACATATCACTTCTGTAGTAATTATGATGGTGAAAAACTTCTACTGTACAATGTTATTGACTGCTTTATTTTTAGTACTTTGCTCTTTATTAATTTATTTAAATAGTACGTGAGATATTTAATATCATAAATTTGTGTGCACACCCAGCAAATCCCAACAGTCCTGCAATATTAGGTTCATGAGTTCTTATTTAGGATTGAATCCATGTTGGGGAAGTAGTGCCTTAAATTTAGGTATAATTTTCTTTGCTTTTCTCAAAGCAATTTTAAAGTGTAGGAACAGATTAATTAAATTGCTACTGAAATAAAAGCAGATGTCAGCTGAATCTTGTTGAAAATATACAGAAATGTTAAGAGTTTACACCAAGGGCTCACAAGATCTTTAGCTCTATAGAAGACCTACAAACTGATTTATGGTTATGCTATTCTTTTTAAAAGGGTGCTGTCAGGTTAAAAATGATGCAATTAAGAAAAAGAAAAAAACCCTTTTCCCAGCTGATGTTGCTAATCACACCTTAAGTAAATCTTGAAGAATTTTAAAAATTAAAATTTATTTTCACTGTTGAAGGTGAATTTTCTTTTTTAAAGTCATCAACATTTCTATGATCTTAGATTTTATAAAAACTTTTTTAAAGGAAAACTTAAATGTCAGTGCAAGCTATTTGATGTTAAGTAAATATCAATTTTACTGATATCACTGTCTTTTTGTACATGTCCTTCAGTGCTAGATTTATTGTTCTTTAGCATTACGGTATTGTACACAATGTTTATTGTGGTTTTTTGCATAGTTTCGCTTACTATCTCAAATTCAGAAAGCTATTGAAATATTTCCCCAATAAATAGGTGTAAACTCCAGAAATCCCTACAAAGAGAGAAATTGCTTTACGGCATGGAATAGAACAGTTACATTAGTTTTGGTTAGAACTGAGGCTAGAGAAATGTGTAAACACTCAGTATTCAGCCTTGCAAATGAATCCACAAGTAGGACCTCACTCCTGTTGTGGTCCCAATGAAAGCTGGTTGGACTTCACGTGCAAATAAAGGTTTGCACAGGCAGAAAAACATGCTGGTTAGGGCCCGGAATTTTTATTGTCGAGCAAAACTTTGTATAAGCCCTGGACATACACATGAGTTGCCATGTGGATAGAGTACAGCCAGCTTTATTTCTCTGTTAGATTATATATGTGTTGTCTACGTTGTACACTTTCCAAATCTCTCTCATAGATTCCTGCTCTCCAGAAAACCAACTAGCAAGTTCTCAAAGCTTTCTGCTAAACTTAGGAAACTGTTCTGTTCCTAAGTCAGAACACCTTCTAGGTCTCTCCTTTCCCCTTGATAGGATCAGTAAAAGACTCTCCATTTCTTTTATAAAACTATGCATATAATTTGAATCTGTTTTGTTCTATTTAACATAACACTACCTTCTAATGGGTGTTTGTGCTTGAGTTCCAAAAAGCTGGATAAAAGCAGCAGGACCTCATGCTTTCCTTTGTAACTTGGGTCATGAGCATGAATTAGATTTAAGGGGGCATTCTGATTTAAATCCCTCTATAGTAAATTTCTGAGTTATCCCACATGATAGTAATACTTTCAGATGCTAATATCACCTCTATAGCTCTCCTGAAAGCACATAGCTTGAACAGCTTATACTAAAGTCAGGGTAGAGTGTAAACCGTTTGATAGCTATAACTACATACGGGGGTAATAAATTGTACATTCAGAGCAAGATATTTTTAAAAATTAGAAACATGAGCTTCATGTGCATGTTTGTACTTCTATTTGCACCTGCTAATGCCTAGATACCTACCTGTCTGGCGTCTTCTGGGCACACATCTCATGGATGCAGATGAAGGCACAGAGAGTGTTGCATGGTCTTGAGCCTCTCTCTAAAAATCAGATCTGTGTATTCTTATGGATAGAGCCCTGCGTGTATTCAAAAATGTGGATCTGCAACCGCCAGTATCCACCTGCAGTCCACTAGCTGTCTTTTACTTGCATCCACACCCCAACAGCAAGCCGTCTCACAAGGGCTAGCGACTTGGGGGGGTAGGGGGAGGGTGCGAGGAGGGCGGCAGGGTCTTGCAGGGAAGAGGCAGCGCGAAGGTGAGGACTGGGGGTAAGGAGCAGCGTGGGGACAAGGGGCGCCCAGAGGGGAAGGGGCCGCCCAGGGGGGAGACTGAGAGGAAGGGGCAGCACATAGCGTGCTGCTCCTGGGTGTTTGCAAGCAATGGCACATGGCAGCAGGAGGGCATTGCATCACAGTGGGGCAGAGGGGTGGGGAGCCGGGGCCCTGCCCACTCCAATCCCTAGGGCAGGGCCTGGACCCTGCTACCCAGGCGGTGGCGAGCCAGGGCCAGGCCCGGGACTGGAAGAACAGCCAGTGCGGCTGGGCTGGGCTGGGCTGTGGTGGGGACACTGGCGCTGCCTCAGGGGCCTGAGCTGCTGGACAGGAAGTGGCGCGGCAAGAGGGTGCTGGACAGCCCTAGCTCCAACTTGCCGCTTAGCCCAAGCCATTGGCTGCTGGCCCTGAGAGCACTGTGTACCCCAGGCTGCCCGAGCCAGACCCCGCAGGCCAGGTGCCACTGGTGAGTAGAGCCCTGCCCGGTTGTATCTGCATCCGATCCACTATCCGCAAAAATGATCCACGGATATCTGTGGATTTGCAGGGCTCTACTTACGAATCATGCACTTGCTTATGAGCTTACATGAGGGGTGGGTAGATAACTTCATATAAACTCACTTTTATTCATCATCATCCTCTGTTTTCAGTCACAGATGTGAAATGGGAAGCCAACGTTGAAATTGTTCCCACCTTTTCCGTGTTCATTGGATAAGTGAAAATAAAACATTCACTGGCTTGCAAGGAAAACTAGGCAGCCTGCTCCTCCTCAATATTGCCTTGCTTGATTTTTTTTTTTAACTCCTCCTTTCCAAACTGTGTTCACTTTCTTTGTCATACAAACCGTTCTCTGAGTAATACATACTTAGAATTTCTTTCCAGAAAAAAGTGAGTAGGATGGTTTGAGAGAGATCCTCAGTCTTTTTTCTTGTTTTCTAATTTGCAAAAAAATCAAGTACATTATTTCATTTTACCCTCTTCTGTTGATGATCTCTGCCTGGCTGCTTCAGCTGACCAGTTATTAAAGTAACTCCCTTTGCTCCCTCCTTATACTTTTAGGTAAACCAATGTACAGGATCTTCTAAGAATCAAAGCGTTTTTCATTTTGTCCAGTGGGGAAAAAAAAACATTATGGAGTAGTAATTGCATCTAGAAGCCAGGTTCATTAGTGGCTAAAAGCCACATTTGACTGAATGTGTAAGGCGACTTAGACTTCGATCCTACTGTTGGATTTACAAGATACTTACGGTTTTGAATTCTTTGGCTAACTTAGGCCAACCAATCACTGGCCATTGATTTAAAAACGATCTATTTTAGTAAAGGATAATCTGAGTAGATGATACAGTGCTCAGTGGTTTAGAATCATTAGATGAAATTCACCTCTCCTGCATAAAACCAGATTTGCACTTTTTGCAGGCCACAATGTGGAGATTTGTGGGAGGGGATAGATTTTTCTCTCTCCAACCTGAAAGGTGGCAGTAGGGCTACAGTACAGCCCCTTTATGGCCTCTCCCTTCAGTGCATGGGTTGGAATTATGGTTTGCCACAATTACATAGGGTGATAAAACCACTAGATTTGAGTATTTATTTTAAAATTTACCATGTACTTATCACATCTCTGCAAGTGCACACAATACAAAAATCAACTAACTGACTTGATGTTAAAGGAGTCTCTCAATCCTCAGGTTAAAAGACTCAAAAAAATAAAAATCTCAAAGCATTCTCAAATCCTCTCTCTGTCAGAGGTTTTGCAGTGCATCCCTGGCCTCTGTGTTCTGTGCCCCACCACAGAGCCAAAGTGGTACAGAGAGCCTTGTGTGAATTTAACCCGTTAATGAGTTTGCTCCCTTCCAAAGGGATGTTGTATTGCTAAGCATTAATAATTACTGAAAAGAATTACAGGGAAGTTGAGTGCCTCACCCAGGGTTACACAGTGAGCCTCTGGCAGACCAGAGGATAGAACCCAAATGTCCTGACTTCTAGCTCAATGCCTTAACCACGAGTCCATTCTTCCTCCCCTTCAGAATGATGTTGGTGTTTTTAATGGGTGGTTACATACAGAAGAGAAATAAAGCTCTCAGGGTTTGTGTTGCAGCAAAGGCAGCCTGTGTGGTATGTTGTTGAGGACGGAAGGGGGAAAAAATGGAAATATATGACCATGCTAGTGATTGCTTTTTAACCAAAGGCATTGTGCAGATAAGGATACAGAACTGTGTGCTGAATACAGTAGGGTTCTGAAATGCTAGCAAAGGAGAAAATGAAAGTTTAAATTTCACAGGCGCTTCTGGAACAGGGTTCCCCTCCCACCATCCACTCTTCTCCTTCCAGCCAAGTCCGGTATAACTTGTGCTACCAGAAATCTGAGGACAGTGGTGCTGCAGGCAGTAGTCCAAAATATTTCATCTTCCTTGTTTGTTTCTAAGCATGAAAAACTCTTGATAATGGGACTGAATCCTCACTCAAAATGTTCGTTACAGAAAGTGCTGAGTACCCTGGCCCCTCCCATAGAGCTTTGTGTTCAGCTTTGGATACAAGCCAGTTACTTGAGAATATCTTAAACTATTCGTAGGTGTGTGTTTCCTTTGCGATAGCATCAGTACCACATTTCCCCTGAAATAGCAAGCAATAATTAGCACTTATTCACACCATTTAGGAATGTGGATGATTTCCTATCCAAATGAGCAGCTAATTAAACCTTGTATTCTGTTATCCCATAAATGTAAGTAGTACTACCAAAGGGTGGGGATCATTTGGGTTCCTAGTCTGAGTAGCCTTAATATCAGTAGTACCCCATTTGATTTCAAATCAGAATAGAGTAAAATAAATCTGTTTCTCTTGTATTTGCTTATCCTAGAAAGAAAAATCAACCTCTGCAGTTCCTGCTGGAGCTCCTATGTTCTTATACCGAGGTGTAAGTGGAATGCAACAATGCTGCTTGACTCTCATGAAAGTAAACTTTGTAGGTCCACAGTTTATAGATCTTGGTTGTAAGGGAATTTGCAACCAAGGTTTTGGGGTTATTTTTATGTCTAAAGACTAAACAACCTGGAAGAGAAATGTCTCCTGAGATACGGTTTTACAGCTCAGGACGTGATTTTTGTTTGACCTTTAATCACTAGGTTTACTAGGGGATGACCTATTTAAAACTCTTATTATGAAACGTGTAGTTTCATGGGACATTGAACTTTGTCCTAACGAAATTGAATCCCAGTTTTAACCACAACATTGTGTAACTGCTGTACACACCTTTTTAACAGTTTTTTTTTTCCCCCAAGTAACATTGACTTAGCTGGAATCAGTAAACAAGCAGTTCTAATGTCAGATCCACCCTACGTTATATTTTACAAAGAGAAGGTAAGGTTATGCATCCATGTTCCTGTGAATGTGGTGTCATGGTTTCACTTGCCCTGCCAACTTCATAATGCCTATAAAACATGGCTTCATAAACTACATTTTAAAAAGTCTCTTGGGTATTTATATATTTGGAGGGAACAAAGCCTTTCAGACAGTTTGTCCAGTTTTTTTCTTTCTTTCTTCTACTAATACTTTATCCTTTAAAATGTCTCTCAAGAGCCTGGTCTTGGATTCTTATTTTTTCCCAGGCCTGGAGTTTCTCCTGAGGATTATATTTTTAAAAAAAAAGAGAGAGAGAGAAGCATTCAACCTCAAGTGTCCTTAAGTCTTTAACACTTTCTCTAGCTGACATTTATAGAACACTAGCTCACCTGGATGCCATTACTTAAATTTACTAAACATTTGTCTAAGCCAGGGGTCGGCAACCTTTCAGAAGTGGTGTGCCGAGTCTTCATTTATTCACTCTAATTTAAGGTTTCGCGTGCCAGTAATACATTTTAACGTTTTTAGAGGGTCTCTCTCTACAAGTCTATATTATGTAACTAAACTATTGTTGTATGTAAAGTAAACAAGGTTTTTAAAATGTTTAAGAAGCTTCATTTAAAATTAAATTAAAATGCAGATCTTATCAGTTTAGTGCAGTGGTTCTTAACCTGGGGTGCGCGCACCCCCCTGGGGGTGTGAGATCCCCTTTCTGGGGGTGCGAGATGTGAGATTTTTTTTGGAAGGTAAATCATCGAAAACACAAATTAAGCACAGGCACATAAGTACAACTACTTTGTTTCATCAAACCTATGTATTTATTAACATTATATATATTTTTTAACAATTACTGTAATATACAAACAATGTTTTTAAGCTAATTGTAGTGTAATTTTTGATAAGGGGTGAGAGAACATATTTTGAGAACTCCAGACCGTCAGCGGGCTGAGCGGGGCCAGGTGTAGTGTATTAAGTTTCTCCCCATAGAAATATGCTGCTTACTGTGTACTACTTATGGCTGCCAGTCCTGATGCTCTGAGCGGCATGGTAAGGGGACAGGGAACAGGAGTGGTTGGATAGGGGTGGGAGTCCCGGGGGGGTCCATCGGGGGTGTGGATAGGGGTCGGGGCAGTCAGGGGACAGAAAGCAGGGGGGTTGGATGGAGAGGTGGGGTCCCGGGGGAGGGGGCAGATAGGGGTGGAGGGTCCCGGGGGCGGATGGGGGGGTTTGGTCAGGGAGCAAGGAGTGGGGGGGTTGGATGGGTCAGGGGTTATGAGGAGGGCAGTCAGGGAGTAGGGAGTGGGAAGTGGGAGGGGGCGGATAGGGGGCAGGCTGTTTGGGGAGGCAGAGCCTTCCCTACCCAGGTGTAGTGTATAAAATTTCACCCCGTAGGAATGTGCTACTTACTTATGGCTGCCAGTCCTGGTGCACCGCAAGCAGCCCATTCCTATGGGGAGAAATTTAATACACTACACCAGCGGACAGAACCCCAGACCGGCCACGGGCTGAGCGGCTCAGCCTGCGGCCGGTCTGGGATTCCGTCTGCCGGCTCCTGCCAGCCGGGGTCCCAGCCACCAGCCCCGCTAAGCCCGCTGCCAGCCTGAGGTTCCGTTCACCCAGGCCAGCAGCGGGGCTGAGCGGGGGCAGCGGCCGGGACCCTGGCTGGCAGCAGTCTGCCAGTAAAAATCGGCTTGCGTGCCACAGGTTGCCGACCCCTTTATTATAAAGAGCATTTTAACTTGATTAGATTCTGCACTATTGAGTAGAGCATACCCTTGGTGTCATCCAGTGTTTTATCTCGCTAACTTCTTTCCTGGGTGGATCACTGTTTCTTTGTCTCACTTGTAAATAGTTTTTTCCCTTCCAGAAGTCTGCTTAAACTACCATAAATAAATATATGTAGACTCAAACTATTGCTTATTCATTCACTGTATTGGAGTATTCTCCACAATTCACAGAGGAATAAAGCATCTCCTAGTAAATTAAACAAAAAGCCCCACTAAGCATGTTTCTTTGTCATGTAAATTAGGAATCTTAAATATTATCATGTTACTGTGTCACCTTCCGTATCTAGCCTCAGAATTTTCAGGGCTGTTGCTTCAAGAAATCTATCAGATTTGTATCCCCACTTTCAAGCAGGCAAATAGAGTAGTCTGTTGTATATTCATACTATAATACATTTGAGTTTTACTGACCTGCAGTTTGGGGATTTCATCTTTTATTTCTTGTTTCTCAAGCCTCTCATCGATATTCTTGGCTCTTTTCTGTTTAATAACAATATATCTTTTCCCATTGCTCACTTTGAAAGTGAGCCACTTAACATTTGCTACAAATATTGGTCTAGATCCTGCCCTGATCAGAATATTGTGTGCATGATGAACATTAGATGGAATGAAAAGGGCATCTTTTCCTCCACAACCCACATTACCTCTGTGTAAGGAGTAGGATGCGATCCCTGACCTTCCTAGCACACAAGCAAACACTCCGAAGGCATGCCCAGGTAGTGTACTGACCTATAATCTGGAGTTTCAAGGGAGTGTGGGCTGTTGCTTAAGGAGTGTGCTCAGACTTGCAGCTTGATAGCCCGTGTCCTTACCCCACGTGCACAGTTTCAACTCTGGCCCTGTCCTCACTATAGTCAGTGTCATGCTAGCGTGGTTTTCCTGACCGCTTTGGGCATGGATTTTTTTTTCCTTCCCTCCTCGAAATTATGTTATCACTGTGTCATGAAACTGAATTATACACTACTGAGGTGGCAAGTGCACAGTCTCCTTAACATGGTTTTCAGCATAGGCATAGTTTGACTTCTATATTTGGGGGGAATGGGACAGCTCCAGTAAGGCCAGTGGGGCTAAGCATGGGGTAGGCAAATTCCAAACCTTCTGAGGCTTGCGGTTTGGGGGGCAACGTTCCCCCTGTCCTTCCCTCCCCCCAAACTATGCTCATGGTTTTCAGGAAGAATCTCTTCACCCTGCTCAGGTGTGCCATGTTGTCAGCAGTGGTTTTAAAACTCTACTGTAGCTTACACCAGTTCAACAACAGTTTGGATGTGTGTTGTGCAACTGTTAATTCATTTTAGTGGGAAATTACTGGGATGAAGAAAACTATTCTAATCAGTTAACGCAGACTGGTAGCTCTACTGTAGTTGTCCAATGATATGGATAACTTTTGGACTAAGGTTTTAGATCTTATAAGACTATGGGGTCTCATCTCTCGTTAAAATGTCATTCTGGTTTGTTTTTAGCCCTATTAAAGGGTTTCATTATATAGTGCAGAAAAAAGTCTACATTGACACTGCTATGTAGTGTATTGTATTTGAATGTACCAACAGATGAATTAGTGCTATAGGAAACAAGAAATAGATATGCAAGGACTAGTCTCCTGGCTATTTCTTTCCAGGAAACTTCCCTACTACAAAATGTGATTGGTAATTTTTGGCTACTTTAGGTTCCTATTTAATTGTTTTTATAGAAGATACAAATCAGAATTATTCAAACTCAAAACTTGTGACTTAAGAACATAACACAAGAAAGGTCATACTCGGTCAGACCAAAGGTGCATCTAGCCCAGTATCCTGTCTTCCAACTGTGGCCAATGCCAAGTGCCCCAGAGGGAATGAACAGAAAAGGTAATCATCAAGTGATCCATCCCTTGTTGCCATTTCCAAACAGAGGTTAGGGACACCATCCCTGCCCATCCTGGCTAATAGCCATTGATGGACCTATCCTCCATGAATTTATCTAGTTCTTTTTTGAACCCTGTTGTAGTCTTGACCTTCACAACATCTCTGGCAAGGAGTTCCACAGGTTGACTGTGCATTGTGTGAAAAAATACTTCTTTTTGTTTATTTTAAATCTGCTGCCTATTAAATTTCATTTGGTGACCCCTAGTTCTTGTGTTTTGAGAAGGAGTAAATAACACTTCCTTATTTACTGTCTCCACACCAGTCATGATTTTGTAGACCTCTATTGTATCCCACTTTAGTCGTCTCTTTTCCAAGCTGAAAAATCCCAATCCTGTTAATCTCTCCTCATATGGCAGCCGTTCCATACCCCCTAATCATTTTGTGGCCCTTCACTGAATCTTTTCCAATTCCAATAGATCTTTTTTGAGATGGGGCGACCAAATCTGCACGCAGTATTCAAGATGTGGGCGTACCATGGATTTATACAGAGGCAATATGATATTTTCTGACTTATTATCAATCCCTTTCTTAATGATTCCCAACATTCTGTTCACTTTTTTGACTGCTGCTGCACATTGAGTGGATGTTTTCAGAGAACTTTCCACAATGACTCTGAGATCTCTTTCTTGAGTGGTAACAGCTAATTTAGACCCCATCATTTTAGATGTATAGTTGGGATTATGTTTTCCAATGTGCATTATTTTGCATTTATCAACAGTGAATTTCATCTGCCATTTTGTTGCCTGGTCACTACGTTTTGAGAGTTCCTTTTGTAGCTTTTCGCAGTCCGCCTGCGGCTTAACTATCTTGAGTAGTTTTCTGTCATCTGCAAATTTTGCCACCTCACTATTTACCCCTTTTTCCAGATCATTTATGAATTGTTGAATAGG